ATCTCCCAACAGGCAGAAGCCAGAATTGAGAGGCTCATCCATTAAACTGAGTGGCAGTTTCTGTACTCAGAGAAGGGAGAGCTCCAGGGAACTTGGGAAGACTGTCGTACCCTGGCTATCCTGAAAGTTTTGCAGCAAGGGCACCATTCAGTTTGTTTGGGCTTGGGGTGGATTTAGAGAAATGAACAGATGAATGACCTCTTAGTTTTCTTAACAACGTAGAGCTTGTGTGTTTCTGGGCTGTCACCAAGGCCAGATAAACCTTAAGGGAAATCAGATTCAGGAGAACACAGGCCCTTCTCTTTTCAGAGGCAGCTCAGCTGTGTCTGGGGGATAGTGGCAATATTCTGAGGGAATCGTGGAAACCAGAAAGGTGAAGCTGTGGGTATAATAAATGTCTTGCTTTGTGACACACTGATTTTCCTGCAGATTGATCAAATGGAACTTTTTTTATCTGAAGCCTATAGATGTAAGTAAACATTCACAGAACATTCAGACCAAAGCATTGTGCCAGGGCCGTAAAGGAACTCCCTAGAAATTTCTAAATTTGCTTTTTCATATACTGGGGATTTGGTTTTAAGTTACAAAATTTAAAAAGCAATAGAAGCTTATTGCAGGAAATGTGGAAGCTGTTTGCACCTCTCTATTTCCTAGCCTGCTTTTTGGCTTTTCCTCCATAAGACTTTTTCCATTGTATATAGTGTATAGTTTACACTACACTCTCACAAGAAAATAAATTACACAAAGATAGAGGTTCGTTTTGTTCACTGCTATATACTGAAATATGGAGAGGTGCTAAATGTTTAATAAATGATTGTGGGGAAATATACAAAAAACCACCTATAATTCCACCACTAGATATGGCCACTGTTAACATTTGTGTTTCCTTCGCCTTTGGAGGCGGGGCAGTTACTTCCTCTTAGAGATTAGTCCATCACAGTTCGCTCTTCCTTTGAAAAATGTTTTAAATCACTTCTATTAGTTGCATGGTATCCCATCACGTGGGAGGCAGAGAAAGGCTCACTCTGACCCTCTTCAAACCCTACACATTACATCTTTAACCCGCAGCGGAGTTGGGAGAGGCTCCCTTTGCCGCAACTTTCACTACCCTTCTTATTCCCCTTTCCAGGGTCCTGGGCCAGGCTGCTACGTCATCACGCTGGGACGTACGGGCCTAGGGCCGTGATGCCTTACGCAGGGTCTGACGTCATGACGTAGAGCCTAGCAACAGCGCAGGCTCCCGGCCAAGTCCGTTATGGCCGCTGTCGCCCAAAGGAGGATGAGTGGGGCTGTGCAAGCGAAGCTGCCGCCCAAGCTGGGCATCCAGGTCCCCGGAGGTCTGGCGCGGCCGCTGGTCCTGGTGCTTCTGCTTGTGTCCGCCACCATGTCCAGTGGTAAAGGGGGCGTGGGCGCGGGAAGACAGAGAGGGCCCGGGCGCGGGCCGGGAGACAGGCAGGGCTGGGGAAAGGGCGCTTCCGAGTATTTGGAACAGAAGGCGATGTCTAGATGGGGCAGGGTCTCAACGGGCCCGAGGAGGGAGAGCAGACTATCTGAGGAGGTCTGAGGAGGTCTAAGGAGGTGGGGTCTCTAAGAGGTCTGAGAAGTGAGGTTGAGGGATACGGGACCCCCAGGGAGCAAGGAGCGGAGCGTGTAGATGGGCGGGGAAGGAGGAGTGGTGCTGTTGTCTCCAGTCCCGAAGAGTGAGTTGCCACAGAGAATGGCGGTGGAGGAATCTCCAGAATTTCTTGGAGTGGGTAGATTGGAGGGTCTAGAGGAGGGGGAGGAGGAGACAGGTGTTGAGAGTCTGGCGGAGGTTTGGAGGTGTGGCGTCTAGAAAGGATCAAGGTTTGGGGTCTAGCAGGGCCAAAGCAGGATCGTGAGGTCAGTGGTAAAGACCAAGGTGGCCAGGGGCAGTGACGGGACTGAGCTGATGGAATATTTCGGAGAGCGAAAGTGAAGGAGAAAGAGCTTCGAGTGCTGATGCATCTCTGAGGTCTGGGAAGTTTTGGTGCTTGGTAAAGAGCCATAATACCGGGGTGCTGGGCTCCGGAAGGGCTTGGGAAGAGGAGAGGGGTTCCAGGTCAAGGGAGACTCTTTGTAAACATGGCTCCTCTTCCCGGTGTCTTTGGTTAACTGGACAACACTGCTTCCTTTTGATGGATCCATAGGATTGAAGTATTTTTTTTTTTTAAATTAAATTTAAACTTTTTTATTGAGGTATTTTTTTTTTATCGAGGTACAAGCTAATATAACGTTAGTTTCAGGTGTACAACATAATGATTGGATATTATTTAAACTTTTTTTTTATTGAGGTATTTTTTTTATTGAGGTACAAGCTAATATAATATGTTAGTTTCAGGTGTACAACATAATGATTGGATATTTGTGTGCATTGCGAACTGGACTCAATTTAAGTCTACTTACCATACGTCCTCATACATAGTTACAATTTTTTTTTGATCTTTTAATGAGAACTTTTAAGATTTACTCTCTTTAACAACTTTCAGATATGCAATACATTAACTATAGTCACCATGCTGTACATTATATCCCCATGGCTTATTTATTTTATAGCTGGAAGTTTGACTCCCTTTATGCCCTGCCCCCCAGCCACCAATCTATTCTCTGAATCTATGAGCTTGGCCTTTTTTGTTTGTCTTGTTTTGATTTTTTAAAAGATTCCACATATAAGTGAAATCATACGATATTTGTCTTTGACTAATATAGCATTATGCTCTCAAAATCCATCCATGTTGTTGCAAAGGGTTAAGATTCTCTTCCTTTTTTATGGCTGAGTAATATTCCGTGTATGTATATCTCACCTCTTACTCATTCACCCATCAATGGGCACTTAGGTTGTTTCTATATCTTGACTACTATATATAATGCTGAACGATTAAGTATTTCTTAGAAGTGTTACATTATGAATTAAGATATTGAAAGCTTCATTGAGAAATGAGGAAATCTGTAAACCAAGACCTGAGACTTAAGGGAAACAAATAAGCACTTATAATGATTAAGCAGTATTTTATTTAGTAGTTCCTTTTTTCTTTCAGGCCAAGACACAATCCCACTTTTCTCCCTAAATCTTTTTTGAGTTTTCAGATGAAAAACAGTGTGAAAGGAACAGTGTTCTCTTATTTGCCGACAGGGGCTGTCTAGCCATACACTCCTGTACTAAAGTGCTGTGGTTATGTACTCAGATTTTCCCTGCAGCACTGAGGGCAGGGTAATGGCTCACCCTCCCAGAAGTCTGTGGGGGAAGGACTGTGGTCCGTTTTCCCAAGGCCCTTTCATCATTAGTAAAATATAATTTTTTCCCTGGCTGATGCAGATATGCTTGTTCCTAAAGTATTTAAGTAACATGATTGTTTTGGTCATTTAATTATCTAAGGAAAACCTGACATTTGGACATTTATTTTTCTTATTGGGTTTTAGTTGTGTTTAGTGGGAGGAATAGAGAAAAGTATATCTGCTCCATCTTCCTGGAAGCCAAAGTCAAAATTTGTATTGAACATGTTAATTTGAATGTCAGACATCTAAGAGGAGATTTCAGGTAGGCAGTTGGATTTATGAGTCTAGAGTTCTGATAGTTCATGGAAGTTCTCTTTTTTAATAATATTTTTTATTTTTCAATTACAGTTGGTATACAATATTATATTAGTTTCAGGTGTATGGAAGTTCTCTTCTGATGACTTCATTTTTCTCAGAGAAGTTAGAAAGTGATGTCCTCAATTGAAAATGAGGACAACAGAAAAGGCTTTGGATGTTTGGGGACAGGAAAATGTGAATGGTCTCCTAAGGGAGAAGGAAAGTGAGTGGACTAGAGAAATACGGTATAGTTGCAACAGCATTACATGTACACTTGAATATTTGGCATTGAATTTAAATTACATAAGAATAGTGGCACGGTTGTGTATTATTTCCAGTCATGCTTGGTGCAGATGGGGAATAGTCAGAGAGTTTTGTTTAACTGCGGATGTTGCCTCACCAAGTAAGTGGGACAAAATGAGCAAGGGGGAAGGGAATTGAAGGTGTTTGAAGAGAGTGATAATGGCTGATTACAGAATTGAATCTGGGTAAAGAGGGAAGAAAGCGTGTTGGGCAGGGGTGGGGTGGTGTCCATGAAGGACTGAAAAGGTGGTAGGATCAGAGAATTGTAGGTCCTGATGGATTCAGAATACCTGGGAATGAATTAGAACGATAGAAGTTCATGTCAGCGAGTGGGATGCAGGAGATTGAGATTATGGAAGAGCTGTGATGATAATGACTGTGGGAGTGAGAGATTAGGGGAGGGAGGAGGGCTGGCTCATCAGAAGAGGTCAAGGATTTTGAAATCAAGATGGGAGTGCTTGGGTAGAGTGAACTCCAGCTAGGAGTTAAACTCATGGAGAACTGGGTACCGTGCCCGGGACTTGGTGGACAAAGGTTAGTGGGTGATAGCTGATGACAGAAGAACAAGGCTGGGGACATGCAGGGTGAGGAATGGGGGAATGGTCTGGAAGGGGCTTCACCCCGCTCCAGGAGAATAGTTCCCCCTCTTCCAGACATGGTGGTACAAGGATGTGGGAGAAAAAAGCTATTAATGAAAAGGGCTACGGGGAAAGTGTCCTTAAGGGAGATTCAGGCTTCAGTTATAACAAGAAAGTGAAGGATGGAAGAAAGGACTTGCTGATGGCGGACTAGATTCCAGAGTTTATAGTGGAGGGGATTCTGGACATGGAGAGGTGTGGCAGATAGGGACAAATTATAATCATTCCCACCCCTGTCTGTGTCCTTTAACTATACATGATTATTCCAAAAGTCAAGTATAGAAAAACAATTTTTTAAAAAGTCAGGGTTTGTTGGCTCCTAGTTTTAAAATTTTATTTTAAAATATGTTTTTCTGCACTTTGTGAGGAAAATTAAATATATCGGAGAAATCGCAGTTTGTAAATGCCTGAATCATAACTAAGTTGAGGTGATAAATATAAAAATTTTTAAAAAGAAATTCTGATTAATAGTTTTCTGAACAATGTTCTGTTGTATTCCCTGTGTCTTTTCTTCCAGCGACGTATTTCAAAGATCCAACTGTTGAAAATGTTTTACGAGAGTTTTACTAATTTACTAAATTTTTTACTAATTTATTTTTTTGAGAGATTCTGTTCAGTCTGTTTGAGACTAGCTATTTTTTCTACATGCAACAGATGTCAACTATGACACAAATCAGAGTGTATTCACATAAATGGAGAGTCGTCTGTTAGATTGTTCATTTGTGTGCGTGCACATGTTTTTGAAAGCCCAGGAATGATGTGGTTTAATCTTACTCCTATAAAATATTTTACTTTACCTTGAGAGACTTTAAAATATTATCTGAGTATTTTTGGATCTCTCTTTATAGTTCTTTTTTTAAAGTATAATGGATATTCTTGAAGTTGTTCAACAGATACTACATTAGATTATAAATTAGAAACACTGTTAAATTTTGACAGTATTCCTCTGAACTTTCAGTATATGGAGTTACTTCCATAAATAATTTAACTTTTACTTTAGTAAAAACCATTCTGGGAATAAGAGCTTGTATGTATTTGTGTCATTCCCATATCTAGATAGCCTTCCTCAATCTTTAAAATAGTCTAGTTCACACTTAGTTTTTAAGTTCCAGTTTCCAGTTCCTTTCCTTTAGTTTTCTCTGTCTTCTCCCTAAGAATACTTTTTTCTTTCTTTCTTTTTTTTTTATTTGGGAGAGGAGGTTTTCCAGTTCTAGTATCACTTAGCAATTCTGTCTACATTAGCTTCTCTTGAATTTGTTGTGTTAAGTTCAAATTTCATATCTATTTTGTGATCCACTTGAGCTGGGATCAGCCACCTCTCTTTCTGTTGTTGTAGGCTCGGGCTGAGTCTGGCTGGGCAAGGGTTACTGAAGTCCAGCCTCTTTGGGAAATGAAAACAGAGCTGGTGGGTGAGAGCTCTGTATGGACTTCGCTATTGTGCCCTGCAGTCAAACTCCTCTCTTTTTTTTCTTTTGGTGGCAGGCTGGGTAATGCAATAGGTCTTCTTTGCTGCTTTAGTTGTTACTGTCTAGCAAGGCAATTGTTATTTGATGACTAATTGACTAAGAAAGGTAACTGATTTCAGGCTATTGAGACTTATTAACTATTCTCAAGAGCAAGATATAGGAATTTAGCAAAGAGAAATGCATAGAGAAAAATTTAGATAAATATGCTTCTTGCTTTGTGGAGATAGTCTTCAGTTTAATGTTCTTTGTTCTCTTATTTTAGATCAATCTCTAGCTGTTTCACCGAGCCAAACTGTACTCAAGCCAGATGTTTCTACTCCAAATATGAGTGCTGTTTTAACCCGTGAAAACCAAACCAAACCATCTATTTCCCAGATCAGCACCACTCTCCCTCCCACAACTAGTACAGAGAAAAGTGGAGGGGCATCTGCAGCCCCTCATCTCTCACCTACGACTTCTCTGTCTCGAGAGGAAGCTGATAACAACGAAGACCCCAGCATGGAGGAGGAGGACCTCCTCACACTGAATAGTTCTCCTTCTACCGCCAAAGACACTCTGGACAATGGAGATTACGGAGAACCGGACTACGACTGGACCACCAACCCCAGGGACGATGAGTCCAGTGAGGCTTTGGAAGAAAACAGGGGCTACCTGGAAATCGAACAGTCAGTGAGATCTTTTAAGACCCCATCCTCAAATATAGAAGAGGAAGATAGCCATTTCTTTTTTCATCTTATTATTTTTGCTTTCTGCATTGCTGTTGTTTACATTACATATCACAACAAAAGGAAGGTAAGTTTGAGATTTTTCAACCCCTCTAGTTCCCTTTTAATACCTCAGTTATATTTATTATTACTTTTGATGATTCAGAGTTTTTTCTTTAGTGAGGTTTAAAGGGATGGTAAAATAGCGAGATTTCTAATCAGTTTAGAAATCTGTGGTGTATTTTAACAAATTAACAAATTATGGACAGAATGCTTTAGTATGTGTGCTTCTAAGAAAAGAAATCAAGTTATTTTTTAATGAGCAAAATCAAAATCCAGTGATTAAAAAAAAAGATTTATG